TGTCATTCCCTTTATTATTAAATTTAAATTAAATTAAATTAAATGTATGCATTTAGCAGACGCTTTTATCCAAAGCGACTTACAGTGCATTCAGGCTATACATTTTTTTACCAGTATTATCCTTCATGAACAAGAAAAATAACAAGCAACAGAATTAAGTAAATAACGCTTTAAATAACGCCCTTTCATGAAGAATGCCACTACGGTCTGTGAAGGCTTTGGCAGAAGTGTTGTAGTGTTACAGTAATTTAAACACGGCCTAATGCTCTTCCCCTCTGTGTGAGGGCTAGTAGAATGGTAAGATGAGATGTTTATCCACAATAAACATCTCATCTTTTGGACAATTTTCAATTATCCAAAAAAACTATTTTTTCAAACTATTCCTAAACAGTTTGTCTGATTTTCACCAAAATTTGCTCTGATCATCTTCAAACCCAGCTGGCAAAAAAAATAGAATTCAAGTTGACTAGTCAAACAGTTCTCGCGCAAACAAATAACGTGCAAATTAATTTGATGAACAGCCTGCCAAAACAGTGGTCATGCCACCTAGTGGTCAAGAGATGTGAAAAATGGCTTCTGAAAGATTTGGCCAAAAATCACGAGACTGGTTTCTTTACAGACAGTGCAGCATACCAAGCTGACTGACATCCAATTGCCCCATGTCAGTCATTTTGAGATTTAGACATAATGAATGCACAAAGTGGTTTTCATTTACCGCATCAACGATTTGGGTGGCATGATGCCAAACTGCAGCTGAGGCTGTATCTCTGCAAAGCTTAGACACATTGACATCAAACATTGCATGTGCCATTGTCACTTCACACTGACAACACTGCATCAGTTTGGTAACAGTGCCATCAAAAGTGATAAACCAGTAAATCATATTACTGGTGATTATATTTATTAATTTTTAGGAGCCAAGCACCAAAGGTGCGTAAGGCACCTATTAAATCGGTTGTCGTTCTTCTTCCACTCTGGGAGTCTGGGAGTCTATGGTAGCCCATAAAACCGCTTGCAGGAAAGTTATGAAATTTGGCACACAGATAGAGGACAGTCTCAACATTAACTATAGCAGGTTTGGAGTCTAACTCAAACAAACTGGGCCACCAACAGTTCAAAGTTGCACATATGTTTATGCTAATAACTTTTGAACCGTAAAGTTTAGAACCACATTCCTTTTTTACCCTGATTTGTCTGATTTTCCTTAAAATTGGCTCAGATCATCTTCAGACCATGCTGGCAAAAAGTTATGGAATTCAAATAGATTAGTCAAACCTTTCTCGAATATCACGTGAACAAATTTGAAGAAGAGCACACCAAAAAATCAAATGTGCTGAAAAAAAGGAAGGAGTCAAGACAGGCTGACGCCGCCGATGTTCCCGAGTCACTCTTAGTCACCTGTGCTGCCAGCTTGGCTTTCGGTCTGAGAGTCGATTAAAGTCTGAGTGCAGTCATCGTTAAGAACAAAATGTGGTCTTGCGGTTAGGACTGGGTTTGATCTGGGTTTGGTTCCTGCTTCAAATAGTGTTTTTTTTTTTTTTTTTTTTTGGTGTGTGTTTGTTAACTTTTGTTACATTTTGGGACAAGACAACCACCATTACATATGCCACAAATGATCTCCACAGACATGGAAAACTGTTAACATTGTTGAATGCTGTGCATAAATTACATCACTGTCGGCCAGCTTACGTCACTTCAGTGTTCCTTCTGGCAGTGCGAATGCAACCAGGAACATTGCTCTACAGGAAAATGTAGTTCTCAGGTGACCGACCTGGTGGCTAGTTCCTATAACTACCCGGTGCAAAAGACATTGTTTTGTCCTAATCACTACCATGAGAAATACTTTTGAGTGAAAACTCTTTTCAAAGAAGCCCAACACAACTGCCCTCAAAAGGCTGTGTGGTTATTAGAATGTGCCATTTGGTTTGTAGTAGAGTGCAACTCTTTTGCAACTGCAGTAACCATTAGATTTTCTTTTGACCTGTTGTCTGGTGACCTGTAGGATGTATTGGTTGAAACCCAACAGGCTTTGCCTGGCTAGAGCAGCAGACACAATAAGGTCATACGGTCACCAAACTCGCTCTACCTACACATGCAGGCAATTGTTAAGTTAACCTTCTGTGGTTCTGGATTTTCTCCTTTTTGCTGGAAGCAAACTGACAATTACCCATTTTGACTAAATATACAGCTTGGTTACTTTGCATTATTAGTGCTTTCTAAAGAGACCTTCACTATTACTATTTCTCAAAATAATAGTTACTTGACAATCATCGTCACTTGACAACCCTAGTATTATGAAGGCAGGTTTGCTTTAACAAAGACAGAACAAACAAAAAAACGAACAAGCTGAAGAAAATGAACCAAGAAATGGATTGAAGCAGGAAAATGACAATTAAGGAAAATAATGTTAACCTTTCTCATCTAGTGGTAAGGGAAAACACAGCTGGAACTGCACAATGGAGACTGTAGCTCTTCAAACAATTTTAATATTTCCCAGACCTGCATGATCTCCTTGGATATGCTCATTGACAATGGCATTCTCATTACAAATAGTGTGAGCTGTACTGTAAGCCTTTGTGGAGACACACAAAGACCTGAGGAAACTGTACCCAGTCCCTTCTGAGCAGCCCAGAGCACTACAATGATCATTTTAAATGGCATTTATGAATTATGTAATATACTGTTAAAATAATTTGGCTTGCTGTCAGTAAAGAAAGGACTCTAGGATCAACTCTTTAATTACTAATTTCGTATGGTTAAGAACTATGTCACTTTTTCATCACTATTTACTTCATTAAGCAGAATAACTCTCACAGTGGAAAGTGGGAATGGACCCACAGTCAAGTCAAGTTATTTATGTCTTAACTCTACAAAAAATATAAATTGTAACTCTCTCCCACTACTCCTGCTGTGATGAACAACCAACCTGGGAGGATTTTTTCCTGTTTCCCTCAAGCCCCCACAAGCAAAAAGACCATATTAACCTTCTGCCTTTGGACCATCATCCTTCTTCGTTATGAACGCAGAGCCATGCAGCCAAACTACGCAGCGATGGACTTAATGAAACTCCAACTTAATGAAAAACCACATTGTATCACTAATTACAACTTGAGCACCACTAAAGATAAAATAATAAAATAAATAAACAGGTCGGCAGTACAGTTCAAAATCTGTTTAGAGATAATGTGTTGTGGTTTAAAATGTGATCCTGTCATTTTTCCAAGAATCCCTGTCACAAAGTAAAGCCATTTACCTGCACCTGTGTGTCAAAAAAAATCCTCCCTTGTATTCTATCATATTAACATCTGCATTGATTTATAAACGATTCATACCCCAACAATGTATAAATGATTTGAGGTATACACTGGTAAATCATTTTAGCTGTCTTGGTTTTCTAAAGCTTTTTCAGGACACTCCTTTGATCCCTGGCTTCTGCTCAGTGTTTTTTTTAGGTCAAGGTGAATCAATTTTTGAATTGTAACACTGTACATCCTTAATATAAATAGTTTGTATTCACTTCTTAGGTCACACTGCTTCCAACAGTTGTTTGATATCAAATTATATAACGTCTGTATACATTTTTATACAAATGCCTAAAACTTTTACCAGTACTGTACAGCAAAAGTTAGAAATAACTAACTTAAAACCATTTTTAGCTTGTGAAAACACTAGTGTTGTAATCATTTTCAATATATACAGTATATTGTCATGACTGACAAAAAGAAAGTTAGAAAGTACAACATTTATTTGAATTTGACATTACTATTACTTTTGATCCATTTAATGCATATTTGCTGAAAGAATTATTAATTTCTTTCAATGAATTAATAAATCAATCAATCAATAAAGTAAAAAACATGTTCACAGATTGAGGTGTTCTTTAAGTAGCGATAATTGCATCCCGTTAACAATCGACCAGAAGATGAAGAAAAATGTATTTTGGCCTTGAGGAAAAATGACTGGTGCCACATACATTCTCAAATTTCCGAAGTATGACGGTATTAAACAATTTTGCATGTGTAAATTAATTCTAAAAATAATTAGCAATTGGTTATTCATATGAAATCCATGTATCATACATATATTATTTGAGAAGATTTTATTCTTTACAAGTATAGATGGCAAACCTTGACTTTGTATATTTTGACCTGTGAACATTGGCTCAGTCATGCCTTGACCTCCCTGTGGTACAACAACAACATTGTGTTTTTTGGATGTCAATACTGTATCTAATATTTAAACTACAAACTCAATTATTGTAGATTTTGGTTCTCATGAGCAAAACATTCCTAATTTTCAGTTGGAGATCATTTCGTTTGTAGGCACTCGAGTCTAGGAAGAGAGAAGCCTTTACTAAGCACCTTGTCTACAGATGATTACCAAAGGTTTTTAAACTTTTTAAGGGTTTTTATTTTATAAAATTTTTTTACCTATACGTTTTTTAACACAATTGTAGATTTGAATGATGATGAAAACAATGCACTGTTCTTTGGGCAGGTTAGTGAATTTCAAGGTTTTCTAGAAAGTTTTGAAGGTATATGGAAATAGTTTTGGTGTCAACTTTTCAAACAAATATCCAACTATGTACAAAGCTTAAAGAAACATTTCTTTCTACAAATGTGTTTGCTTGAGGAGTACAGAAACATGGCAACACGCACGCACACACACACACACACGCACGCACGCACGCACGCACACACACACACACACACACACACACACAATTAATACATTTAATAACATTTTGATCCTACTCAGGCCATCCTACAATAATCACAGTGAGAACAATGTAATGTTTAAAATAAAAGGCACCAAATTAGAACACAAGTATGTTAGTTCAGCTTTTCTGTAATGATGAAGCAGGTGAAACTGATGAATTATTTGTTTATTTGTTTGAACTTTAAATAGTTTTTGTGGGCATAAATAATTAATTTGGTTTCTTTGTTATTGTCTTGTGGCTTTGGGTAAGTGTGTTTGTCTCTACACGATCAGATACCCTTGTTTAAAAGGCCTGACATTTGGTACTTAATTTTGTTTTGTTTGTTTATGTGGTAAAGAGTATATATCAAACCCAGAACAAATATGGCATACTTCACCCTGTTAATTGGAAGGCAACAAGATGTTTTTGAGTGTCACCAAAGTCATTTATTCAGTCTTTTATTCCATTTATTCAAGCGAATAGCTTATCAATTTACTTGCACTTCTCATTTATTGACTGCATGCTGGGCCTGAGCATCTCTCGAAACATATCAACACTGGTTTATGGAACTGTTTTTAACAGCCACTTAGGACTTGCATTCAGGACATTCATGCAGACTAACAGACTTTGCAAAGACATCAGGAAATATGAAGCATATGCTTTCACCAGGGTACTGTTTGGCACTACGTGCATAAATTTTTTTTTCTTTTCCAGCCAGGGAAAACAGAAGATGATAATTAATAAACTGAGAGATAAACATTCCAGTACTCCTGGGTCATCGTTGTACAGATACAGAGCACGTTCAGATTTGAAAAAGCATCAGTGACAGCTTAAAGTAGATGTGCTGCACTCTTTTTTTTTTTAACTGGCAACCAAGGTAAGATCCTGGCATTGGTTCAGCTCATTAAAGAAAAAAAACATCACTGCACACTGTTTTGACTTGCTACTATGACATCTACAGAAAGTTAAATCTTCTTCCTCTTGTGGAGGGTAGCTGTGGATTTAGATTTTGCATGGTTTTTTATGGTAGCGTAAGATGGGGGAAGATGCCCCCTTTAAGACCAGTGTGTATTTACATTTCAACTGTACCATATTTAGATTTAAGCTTTGCATGTACAGGATAATGATGAATGGAATACACAGAAACATTTACTAAAATTATACAAAGCAGCAAGAATATCTGAGGCAAGAGTGTAAGAACCGGCAGTGTGGAAGACCACAGTGCAGCCGAAGGGATGGAAATCCATGGCAGAGCCCGGGGACTGCTGACCATTGTATAGTTGGGGAGGCAGAAACCCAAAGCATAGCTGGTGAAGGTGGAGACCAAGACAGATCCAACAGAGATGGAGACCTCCATGGAGGAGCCAGTGGAAGAGGAGACTGCCAGAGCAGAGGGCCTCTGGAGAGCCAAAAGAGCAGAAGACAATGCTGGAGCCAGTGGAGACGGATATCACCCCTGTGGAACTGGCAGAGCTGAGGAACAGGGTAGAGCAGACAGAAATAGCGGAGGAGGAACTAACTTCCTGGGCACCTGGTTCCTAACTTCTTGGGAACCAGTGAGTCTTTCCTAAACAGAGGTAGAGGAAGGGCTTCTATGGTCATGGTGAAGGAGAGGGAAACAGCTCTTGGCAGCCTTCCAGGCCATGGCAAAGGAGTCAAGAACAACCCCTGTGGCCAAGACAAATGGAGTGGAGTTGTGCACAGGACTTGGAAGCATCATATATGGGACAACTTGACTCGGGACATGGGACCTCAGGGATCACCAACTTGGGTCCACCGGGCTCAGGAATTCTGGGAGAAAGCACAGAGGGACTCATCTTGAAAAATGCACAATGTGAGCCAGGACTAAATGTAGTCTTCGAGAAAGCGAGGAGGAGGATTCTGACAGTTGACAGATCCATTTGTGGTCAGTACACTCTTAAAAATAAAGGTGCTTCAAAAGGTTCTTCACAGCGATGCCATAGAAGAACCATTTTTGGTTCCACAAAGAAACATTCAATCAAAGGTTCTTTAAAGAACCATCTCTTTCTTACCTTTTTGTAATCTGAAGAACCTTCTTTCGCCACAAAGAACCTTTTGTGAAACCGAAAGGTTCTTCAGATGTTAAAGGTTCTTTATGGAACCATTTAGACAAAAAGGTTCTTCTATGGCATCGTGAAGCACCTTTATTTTTAAGAGTGTAGTTATGTCATAGTTTGACAAGAAGGAAAAAGAAGTGGTGAGGATTTATAACTAATTAATTTGGCTATACTTAAGCTTTCAATATATAAAATACACAACAATTCATTTGTATATTTAGCTGTAATTATTTAATAATATCACATCAATATTTATGAGTGCAGTATTCTGTGTAATAACACTTATACCGCAGATCCATCCTAAACAGCACACTCAAACACTTTTCATGGGTCAAAACCAAAACTAATTTTGAGAAAAATGTGTGAATATTTTTGGTGGGAACATGATACAAGGCCTATGTCCTGTGAAAGTATTACCGCCGAGGCTGAGCTTTAAAAAAAAGTGGAATTTGGATTAAATACCTGACAACATAATGAGTGATCTCAAAAGATATTTTCTTTTCATGATTCAGGATCAAAACACACTGCTCACCAAATTTATTAAATTGATTTAAAATTTGTTCAAATAATTGCTTGTAAATTAAATTAACATTCTGCTTAAAAACTAAACTAACATATGTATTGGCAATGAAGTATTCTAAAAAGAAATGTTTCCAGTGTTTTTTTAACAATCAGACAGGAAACTAAAACATTTCTCTTATAGGGGTCAGTGGAAAAAATTGCTCTTGATAACTTGATTGTGTTGCCATTTCTTTGAGATGACTCCCAGTGGACACTAAGAAGCCTTTTTTCTTTCTTCACCTTCACTTGTTAGTTGAATGAAAGAAATAGCTGGCAGAAAAATCCTCAAGAGGACAATAGTTAACTTGACTTTTCCTACAGAATGTCTGTTAGATTGCTGTAGCCCACAGTTTGACATACTGGATGCAAAAACCAATGTAATATGTATGACTAAAATTTGGCATGAGACCAAACCCACCAATAAGTAGTCTTACCGCTGACCTCACAGCAGTGTGCTGAAGAATAAAAATAGCGGCGCATATTACTCACATTCTGGGTTTAAAATGGCTATTTTGGCCAAAAGCCATGCCCAGCTGGAATTTGAGAAATGTTTCGTTTTATTCAAATTTCAGCTCAGTATCCACAGAATGTTACACATACATTTTATTCCAGTTAAAATTATTTTCTTTTTAGAAAAAACTTGATTTAAAGAAAAATGTTATTTAGCAATGGGATACGAAAAACAAACCTATTTCAAGATGCACTAGTCAACATTTGAAGTGGATCAAAATCTTTCATCGAAGTTGTTCTAAAACCTAAAACAAAATGTGTTCTTGTCTAAGGACAACTTTGATGGACTTTGTGACTACTGTATCTAAAATACTAAATCAAGATATTATGAGTTAATTCACTATTATTTTTCAAGAAAATTAAAAGCTTTTACTACTGTCACGTGCTCTGTCCATTATTTCATTAACCACTACTCCAACATGAAGCCATAACAGTGTTTTATCTGTGACTTATATCATGACTACAGTTTGGCCATTGGAATAGCCTGACAAACCAATTAGGGGCCAGCTATTGCTGTTATTTTGGCGCGCACTTTTGGGTGTATCACAAGTAACGATCAAACAAAGGCTTGACTAAATTGAGCTGGGTGGCTATATCTGATGTTTGTACAACAGCATCTTGCCAGAAAATGACTGTGCTACAGTCAATGTGAACAACTGTAATTTTTCCGTAAGGTCAGGTTTTCTTGAGATTCTCTGCAGACACTTTGTGAATCAACAGAGGTTTGATTTGTTGTGAATGCACGGCAAAAAATGTTGGATTGTGAACAAACCCTCCATAACTGTTGAACCTTATTTTACCTATTGTAGGCAGATAAGGAGACAGGAGTTCTTAGTTAATAATACGATTGAAAAATTGGAGCTGTGGTGGGCCAATGTCTGCTGGAGTGATTTGAAACTCAAGATGAGTTGTTTTTCCCATGTTCTATGTCCCATAGATTACAAGTGATAAATGAATCCATATTTGCATTGATTATATATTATTGTGAGAGTCTCCCCTCTGTGAATTTAACTGATGTTATCCACTGGAACTGATGAATGGTGTATAAGCTGGTCAGTCTAAAATGACAAATGTCATGTTATTTATCTATAATGTGGTTAAACTTAGCTTGATCATTTGTGATTTACACAAGCAACACCTGTTTTTAACCTTTTTTATCTAGAATATAACAAATGTGGGAAGTTTTGTTGAAACAAAAACCCTCTCATTAGAGTCACATTGGGCCCTATCATACACCCGGCGCAATGCGACGGCAGGCGCGATGCAAGTGTTTTTTACTAGTTTCAGCCCGAAGCAGTTATCATTTTCATGTCCTGCGCCACATTGTTTAAATAGCAGTTGCATTTGCGCCCATTTGTGCGCCTATGGGCGTGCTGGTCTGAAAACGAAGTGTGTTCAGGCGCATTGTTGGCGCGCTGATATTTTGAAGCAACTGAAATAGACTGCGCCATAATTCAAAGGGGAAACAATTTTTCATTATGACAGATATTTGTTCTTGATTTAAGTGTAAAGTCACTTAATTTTTCAGAAGTTTTCAAAACTTTTGCATCTTTTGCATAGTAAATGTATCTTGATTTAAGGATGTTAAGGATATTTGTATTGGAAAACAAATACTGAGTAAGATGATTCTTCTTCCTCTTCCTCTTCTTCTTCTTTTTTATTTTTATTTTATTCTTTTGCAATACATGCAACATTAAATGCCATGACTTTATCAATGTAAAACTTTCTGTGCTGATAATACCTTTTTAAGGACCTTTTTAAGACCCTATTGTATCATAGATGTCTTAAAGACAGTGTTTTAGACAGTGGTGTTGACTCACTGTTTTATGTCCACGATGCATGTGACATTACACAGTCAGAAAAGGTGCCGAGATTACTTCCCTGGAGTGCTGTCTCATATTGGAGGCAGTTACTTTGCATTAAAAATAAAATAGATATGTTCTGTAAGTATGCACTGTAGCTTTTGGTAACAAATGTATTGCTTGTTTTCTTGGATGAGAATGAGCTCTGTTTAAACTATTATAGCTATCAGCTATAGCTTTGTAACGCTGTGCGAATAAAATGTGCCAATGAGCCAAAGTCAGCATTAAAATGCAGCAAATCATCCTAAAGGGACACATCAAGCTATTACCTGTTGCAAAAAAGTGAGTGCTGCCGGGCTCC